AATGCCACAAATTCTCCTAAATCACTCGTACGCACAACTTAAGAACAAATCTGTGCGTACGAACGGTTCTTGCATGAGGCCCATTATGCCTGCTTTTACTGTGATAACCCACTAGATGCATTCCAATGTCTGTACAAAACAAAAAAACATTTAACTGAAGTTATGGAAAAAGTGCATATTTATTTTAAACATTTTGTCTCAAACAATAGTTTGGATCATGCTCTCCCTGATATAATCCAGTTTGATGATGTCATCAATCGCACACCGACGTCTCTGGACCACAAGCATTTATTAACACATTTTGGTCAAATCCAGGTGTTAAGTTATCAAGCTTTTTGTTATCAAAAGAAAAACCGATACAGATATGTAGAGATTTTACATTTTTATGCTAATACTGGACCAATAATATCTGTAGGCCGATATTATCGGACATCCCCAATCTTAATAAGTTACTGCACCTGATTGCAGTTTAAGTCACAAAACCTTGTGTTAGTAATTTCATTTCCTGCAAGATTGTCAGACAAAAAGATCTTTCTTGGTTTTCTGTGTATTTAAGCTTTATGAAGTTTCACCCTCCTGACAGAAGTGGGCTGAGGTTTACCATTGTTCTGGAGTTACGATGGCCTTTGTAAACCATTTTGACCGAAGGTCTCCTGATGTTCTGGGTTTCGCTCTCCTCCATCTCCCTCCTTTCTTTTCTCCTGCGGAACAACTCCTGGATACGAGCTGCTGCTGAGCGTCTGAGAAAGGAAAACAAAACCCGTAACACGTACTCACAAATCACTGCTGTTATAAAGCTTTTAAAAATGGAAACTCAAGCCTAGAAACCAGACATATCCATCTGTTCTGTACGTCACATCTGACTCAAACTGATCTGTTTTTGTTACGTGATTTTAGACTGATCCTAACTGAAAATCAAACGTTTAGTTTTCTACGTCTTCATCTTCTTTCCYTCAGACCATGCACATGGTTTATTTATATTCTTCACAATAAAGAAGGTATAAAATGCAGCTGTGATGCTAGTTTCCACACTGTTTGTGCTCTCATGCAGGGAATCGGTGTATTGTTAAGTGGAAATCCCAGCCTGACACACACACTGACAAACACGTTAGCCGTTGTGCTGTGGAGTTTAAACGCTCGGCAGCAGCTCACATCTGGAAGGTTAGAAGCTTTTAGTTTCCAGAGCAAACATTACCTGATCATCCTATCTCCTACAGCAGATCCCCTGGAATTAAATCTAGATTTGTTGTAAAACAATCAGTGAGAAGGTACCACACTCAACTTGAGACCATGAAAAGGTGGGTGTGTGTTAAGAGGAAGCAGAACACCAACCTCTGTCCCTGTCCTCTGAACCTGGTTGGTGGGATCAGGATTGGATCATCYTCGCTGTCATCAGAGTCCTGGTTGCTCGGCGCCGGCTGACTCTGACTTTCCTCTCCAGCAGGTTCTGCTCTCCTGCAGCTCCTGGACGTGTCCTCCGAACCCTCCGGTTGACTCCTCTCCCGCGGTGAAGACGTCACGCCGTCCCCCTCAGACGAGACCCCCGCCTGATTGGCGGAGCTGGAGGATGTGGCGTCACCCGGATGCTCCGTAGCGGCCGCTGGCAGAGTCTGCTGCCCCGAGGACTCACAGGGAGCTGAGGGGAGACGTTTTTATTTAATGTCTGTGTTTCTCTGTTTGAACGGGACTGTTTGTGGTGCAGAAAGAGGCGACTCACCCTGTTCTGACACCGAACTCTCTGCAGACGCACTCTCTCTGCTCTGTGCAGCCACAGCCTCCGAGGTTTTAGAGCCTCCGCTGCCCAGAGAGCTGGACGTGCTGCTGCTCCTAAACACAAACAACCACAACTACAGAGTAAATAAAAATAGGTAAACACTTTAAGAAAGTACCACACAACACACTGAAAACCACATATTTTAGAATGCCAACAGTGTGAACAATTACTGTCAGAAAATGAGACCAGATTTCATGCTATGAATATAACATATACTTATAATATAACATATACTTTTTAAAAAGTTAAAAGTCAATAATGCAAACTAGAAATAAGAACCAGTGCTGACTTCTCTGAATCTGAATACATTCTGGGACTGAATAAAATAAGACAAAAGCCGTATTGCAAACTGAGGATGTAAAATTGACTCCCCTTTTTGCAAATCACTGACGCTTCATCTTCTCGTCTAAGAAGACAGACCACCTGTCTTGTTATCAAACGATGAAAGCAATAAAACTTTGGGATGTGGCATGTCAGAATACATCATTACTCAGAACGAATGACGCAAACTTTAGAGCTAAATGTGTTGCCATCCTTTAATTCAGCAGGATGATGTTTAACCTCAACAAACTTGCTCTGTAGAAAGAATAATAAACACAGAGCTGAAGTGGCTGCAGTCCATGTCTGCCACTGAATGAAACAAATTAATTTCTCTCATGTGAGGGTTTATAACTATGCTGGCAGTGAAGACAGGAGTCCTCCAGGTCACCAGTTCCTTCAACAGTCAGAACAGAAACAAACAAAACGTTTGATAATTTTGAATTAATWTTTAACCTAAACCTGGATTAAAGCCTAAGTACTAGAACCAACACAGGGAAAGAATCATCACAGAGAAAATTAACCAGGAACTCCCTTGTTTAGACACATTATCAACAATGTGCTCCGTTTGGCACATTAAAAAACATAAAACAGTGGAAAAATGTGCAAATACTTTTTGAAAAAGCATTCTTTTCCCCTTTCTAACATCTAATTTAAGTACTGAAGTTTGGAGGAAACCATGCAAGACAATTACAAATCCTATTTTTATGTTAGAAAAAAGAGCTGTAAGAAGTTTTATGGGTAGAAAGTGCAATGGTCACCCAACAAATACATTGTATCAGTTGAAATTATTAAAATTTGATGATTGGATTGATAGTATTTTACAAGTAACGTATAAAGCTCATAAAAAAATTGCCTTTAAATATTCAGTTAAAATTTGATAAGAAAGAAAGTCATTATAACCTTAAAAGAATGGAGTTTTATTAAACCTCCATTTTGAACCAGTCTGAAGGGATGATGTACTGTAATTARAGGAATAAGTTTGTGGAATAGTCTTGCTACTATTACAAAAATCTCTAAAACAATTATATTTAAAAAAGATTCATTCAAAATTATTGGGAAAATATACCATTTGTGTCTATTGAAATCAGAAACAAAGATATCTGATGTTGCTTTTGTTTTATTTTTTGTAAATGTAGAAATGATTGAAGCTCGAGTTTGTTTGTTGAAGTTATTTTTTTGGAAATAAGCGGCAGATAAAATAAGATTGTTTTCTTCACTCTGCACCCTTTTCTTTCATGGCATGACTTAATTACTATGACTAATTTTACTGTGTATAGATTTGTTTTTGTGAATGAAATAAATTGAAAAAACTAAACTAAAGTAACTCTTAAATCTTAATTTGGGGTTGTTTAACTTACTCTGTCCCTATTTTCATAGAATCAGGTGTAAACAAAATGTTTTCCATCATGTTCTATCAATACTTTTTACCCTCTAGGATCAAATGAGTTCATTTGTAGTAACTCGTTTTTTGCTCTATTACTTGTTTTAGTTGCTCCCTTTAAAAAGACAACAACTCAAACAGAGTTTTTTCTGGACGACGCACCACTCATCAGTAAAGTCCAGCTTGATGGTGCTGGTGGTGGTTCCCTCGGAGCTGTAGTGCAGGCTGAGGATGGGTTCTGCTGTGCTGGGTCGGGGGGTGGAGGTTGTGGTAGGGGGAGGGGGAGGATCGGCGATGGCTGCTGCAGGAACGGACTCATCGGGAGGCGAACCAGCAGATTCAGCTCCTGCTGAGCAAAAAGGGCAAAGCAAACATCTCATTAGAGCAGAGAAAACACTTGTTTGTGCTTCTGTTCCTCACAGGAAAAATATGCATCATTTATTTGTCTTTATCACCACTGATTAGCTAAAAATTGCAAAAAGTTTAGGAAGATGCAACAAACACGCACCCTGCTGCTCATCCAGAGTCATTGATCCCAGCTGTTTGTTCACCACAGATGAAGGAGAATCTGGGACACAAAAATGGACGATAAGATTAAAGCACAGAGACAGAGAGCAGAGGTGATTCTCACACAGCCACCGTGCTTCAGGGTTAAAAGCTTCACTCAAGTTAAATAAAAAGATCAAAAAATAAACCCAAGGTCAGTGAGGAAAATGAGATCTAAACAGAAATGTTTTATTCAAAATCAAACAATGCAAACTCTTTTGTTTTTACATTACGTTAGAAAAAAACTGAGTTTTTCTTTTTTATCTAGCGCATTTTAAACACAAAACAAACATTTCTTTTGCTTTTAGTCTGACCTGTGTATCTTCTAATTAAAGACGTTTGGGGACTTATCTAAACTACCAAAAACTGGCCTCTTCAAGCCCTTTTAAACCCTTACAATAATAAAATGACCAACAAATACCTGCTGAAGGCAGGAAGTTGCTCAGCAAGAAAAACAAAAAGGTTTTGTGACCATGTTTATAGATTTTCAGAAACGCTGCAGCTGCAGACCCAATCTGTAATTTTGCCATCCATTGTTCTAAGTATTGTTCCTTAAAGCAGGAAATATGTTTACATATTCAAGCCTTGATTGGTTTTCTCCAATATAAAGTATGAGGTCAGTCATTTCATGTCTGAAAGGGAGCTGAAGCAAAAAAAAAAAAAAAAAAAAGAATTGTTAAGGAAGCTCAACATCATCCAAAAACCAGATCAGGGGTTGGATTTATAAAACTGGCGTACGCACAATTTGAGCCCAGAAACTTGCGTACGCAACTTTTTACGCCAAGGTTCTGATTTATAATATCCAAACTTGACGTGAAAATGTGCGGTGCCTCACGCCAGCTCTGACCCAGGCGTATGCTCATTTTGGAGACGGGAAACTGCGACACAGATGGTGAAGTGAGGAATTAGAGCCACACTGTGTAATGATCACTGTCAGATATTTAATTTAACTTCATCAGACTTAGATTTTTATTCAACTTTATCATCATCTTTCTTAACAGTAATATTTATGCTTCTGCTGCTGAGCCATGAGGACCTTTGAAATAAAAAAAAAACTTAAATCTTAAATAAAAGTTCCCGTGCGTAAATCCCTTCATCTGCTTCCTCCTCAGACGACCCTGACCCACAGACCCCTCCCTGACCCACAGACCCCTCCCTGACCCACAGACCCCTCCCCAACAAGAACAGCAGGACAGCAAAAGCTTTGGATACACGTGCAGGGCGCATCCACCTCGTCATTGTGAATGTTATAAAGCTTCCTGTTTAAAGTCCGTGTTTGTCACGTGCGCGCACGGGGGTGGGGTGTCTGTCGCGGATAACAGATCAGGCAGGAGGGGGAGAGGACGAGGAGAAGAGGGGTGGACTTATTTCTAATTTTATCTGACTTATTTAATTT